CGGTGTCCGTGTGTCTGTTTTTTTTTTCTCTTTGTGTTTTCCTTTTATAGCTATAAAAAAAAAATAAAAAAAAAAGGGAAAACATTTTCTCTCTCTCTCTCACTACAATTCCTTTCCCTTCTAGTCCCCTCATCAGGGAACTCCCTTAGCTCAACTTTAAATACAGGTCCCGAAACTAGGATTGACTCCTTTCACCAAAACTTTTGGTGTTGTTGTAAATTGTTGAAGGAAGAAAGGGGAAGGAACGCAACTTATTGAGTTGACTCCTGTTGATACGGCTTTAGAAGCTATCGCTCGCCTGCCGCCCTGCCGCCCGCCTTACCGACGACGAGTATAAGGCCGAACTCGAAATCTCGCCCCCCTTCAAACAGCATTCCTTCGTCCTCGATCCAGAACTGGAAGAAAGGATCAAGGAGGAAGGAACGCAACTTATTGAGTTGACTCCTGTTGATACGGCTTTAGAAGCTATCGCTCGCCTGCCGCCCGCTGGCGCGCCAATCATTCGGTCTTGGTCTGCCGCTGACACAGCGCTTTGCATTTCTACTATCGTAGGACATGTTGTGACTCTGACACTTGCCTTCCTCCTCCACAAGCGAGTGAACGCCGTTCAAGAGTCTTTCAACAAATGCACGTCCGGCGTCCCGCGCATGTTCCGACGTGATAAAACGGACCAAGAACCCGAACCTGAGACCTCAACAAACCTAATTGAGATTACGCCTATACCGCCTCGTCAAACCTCTGACAATTAGAGCAATCCAAAATGACACCATAATGATACAAGTAATTCTAAATAATGCACCCCATGTCGTCTCAAGTTTCGAACCTGATCATTCCCGAATTACCCAAGTCCTGCACCAGGATTCAGTCAGTGATGGAGATGTTGTTTGTATCTTGTGTGTGTCTGTTCTCCCTCTCTGCCTCTTGTTCCAGTGCCCGCTGACATTCGCAATAGGAACATCACCTCGCAAAAGGGGGATGTGTAGGATCTGTCTCACAACAGACCCACCTACATGATGGAGACACACACATCAAACTCGCTCATTCCATGGAAGGTTGTTGAGGTTCGTTTCTCCGCATCTGCAGTCGTAAAACTCATGCAGGATCAAGTAAGGTGAAGCATTTCCTGGACTGTTTGGCTATATCTCAAGATAAGCTAAAAGGGACAGTACTTTAACGGTGCTTAAAATTGTTTTACGGGCTTGCAAAGAGCAGATAGAAATACCCTCATGACCAGTGGACGCATAAATTGCTAAACTCCGATCAACAAAAGAGACAATTTTATAGCTCCCTGTCCCGCAGGAGATTCTCCAGCAGATGCCCAGAGCTGACCTGTACGTGATCGAGGGACTCGCCCCTTTTCCCCCGCATTCCAAGGAAAGAGACAAGATGTCTTTGACAATCGTTTGCTAATAATTGAAAGTATAAAATGATCAGAGCATAGAATTACAAATAGTAGGTTGTTTGTTGTATATATATATGCTTGACGTGTTTCATGTAATCGGTGCAACTTTAACCAGTGTTTAATTACCCCTTTTTAGGAATTAAGGATATTAAACTGTGTAATATGTGAAGTTTAATCTTGAACGAATGAAAACCAGAAATGCAGAAGGTTGAAATGAAGTAGACTTTAATAGTATGTACAATATTTGCATTTAAGAGACTTTATAGACGTATCAATATATTATTATAGGTGGCCTCATATAAATGAGAGTCTCTGGTTAATGTATGCACACTCCGCCCCTTTAAGAAGTCGATTGGAAGCCAGCGTCAGGGGACGGACTTATGCCACAGAGCAAAACCCGAATGCAGAACAGAATCCAGGGGTTTTTTTTTTGGTTAGTTAGCTGGCTTGCAACTTCTCCGGCTCTCGCTGGTCGCTGTGTTAGAGCACCTGCACGCGTGCTCACATTTACCATCAAAAGCGACCAGCAAACTAAAACTCAACACTTCAGTGATACTTCGTTGAAATCGTCAACAAACTTGAAAGTCTAAGACTCTCAGCAGATTGCTTGCGCCTCTGCGTCATCACAACTAACGAGGGGTTTCCCAAAGGACGTCATCCTGACGTCACCGACCCGTCAGTGAGGAGTTTCCCTCAAAGACCTCCAGGAAGCCCGCAGCACCACGGAGTCACCTCAGCTGTCAACCCGCGGAACGCAAGTAAACAACATTTTCTATGATCTGCTGAACGGGTGAATTTAAATGCTTTGCTCTGTGAATTCTTAAGGTGAATTCCCATCCCTCGTGAAAAGAGAGAGAACTATGAAACTCAGAACTCCGTTAACAGTCTTTCCTTCCTCTGAACTGTATGTTTGTGTGTTTTAGCTTAAGTTTATGTGATCTAGAATAGCCAATAAATTTCATGTTTCATTTATAACTAATCAATTGTCTGGGTCATATAATTTCGTGTCAATTCTATTGCCAAAAGATCCTTGCTTGTTACCTTAGCTCGTAGCTTACGCATAATAATTACCTGTCTTTCAAGAGCTGACAAATCATCAAATTTTGTATTTCACCCGTGGCCAGGGAGAATACAAAAATTACATATTCAATTGGTAATATACACTGACATCAGCTTCTCGCTGGCCGAGTAGCTGATAAAAGTATAAACTATTGAAAGTCAAAGTCAGTTTTGATCAGGTGGACCTCGAATTCTCAGATCGAGTTCTTTTAAAACCTGAGCTAGAAATAAACCTGAATGAATTAATAATGATTAATTCCCTTACAACTAAGTAAATTATTACAGTTTATTAAAGCTATTTAACCAAATATAGATTTTAATCTCCAAAATCAGTAAAAAAACAAGATGCAAGATACTGTCAACAAGTTACGTACATGGCTTTTCTGCAGCATCTCACAACTGGCAAGAGACTCATATAACCTTTCCCGTAGGTCTTGTACCTCTTCAGGTCGAGCTCATCCAGCACCTCCTCTGACATCAGCAGTACGTAGGCCAGCAATGAACACATTGAAGATGAGAGGAAGGCTCTTCTATTTGATTTGATGTAACTTTGGATTTCCATATATAATGAATTGTCATTGAGCTCCAGTAAGCAGTAAAACAGGTTTACTGAAGTTTCAGGTGAGATGTACTTTTGTAATAGTCCTCTAATGTGCTCGGTTGTTTTTGTGACGCTGTCTTTGCTGTCTTCAGTGTGAGGGAACAGGCCTCTGAGCAGGTTCTGATTGGATTCCAGTGAAATGCCCATCAGAAACCGCAAAAAGAGGTCTAAATGTCCTCTCTGACTCTGCATTGCTTTCTCAACAGCCTTCACTAGTAAATAATGCAATGGACTTTCAGACTGAAGCTCACAGTTAAGCCTGACCTCATTCTGTGTTTCTTCAAAGAAAAACTGAAGCTCCTCCATGTTCTTGTTCAGGTAGCAGAGGAACACATGCATTGCAGCGAGAAACTCTTGAACACTCAGATGCACAAAGCAGAAGACCTTCACCTCGTGAAGTCCAGCCTCTTGCTGAAAGATCTCAGTCAGCATTCCAGTGGACTCAAAGTCACTCACATCAATACCACATGCTTGCAGATCTTTTTCGTAGAAAACAATATTTTCCTTCTTTAGTTGTTCAAACGCTAGCTTGGCTAACTTCAAAATCATTGTTTTATTGGAATCTAACAGCTTGGTATGTTCTCTTTGTTTTTTCCCGTCATACTTCTGGTTCTTCATGTTCATCTGCATCAGCAGGAAATGGATGTACATTTCAGTGAGTGTTGTGTTGATGTCCTCTGCTTTGTTCCCAATAGGGATGTCTTGAAGAACAGTAGCTGTGATCCAACAGAACACGGGAATGTAGCACATGATGTAGAGACTTCGAGATTTCCTAATGTGTGAGATCATTCTGGAGGCCTGAGTCTCATCTTTGAATCTCTTGCAGAAGTACTCCTCCTTCTGCTGGTCAGTGAATCCTCGCACCTCTGTGAACAACCCGACATACTCAGGAGGGATCTGATTGGCTGCTGCTGGTCGTGAGGTCACCCAGACTAGCGCTGATGGAAGCAGAGTCCTATTCACCAGACTTGCAAACAGTTCATCTACAGATGATCGCTCCTCGACACTCGTCACCATTCCACTGTCAAAATCCAGAGTCAGTCGACTCTCATCCAGTCCATCAAAGATAAACGCAAGCGTACATTTATATACCTTATTTATCTTTGTTGTTTCCAGGTCCTGCATTTCAGGATTAAACTTCTGTAGAAACTCATGCAGACTGATCTTTTTGTTTTTAATGCAGTTAATCTTTCGGAACGGAAGCAGAAACACACAGTCAATATTGCCATTGGCTTTTCCTTCTGCCCAGTCCAGAATGAACTTGTGCACTGAGACAGTTTTTCCAATGCCAGCGATGCCTTTGGTCAACACAATCTTTTTCTTCTTATATTTGTTCAGACTAAATACATCATTGCATTTGATTGACCTGTTCTGTGATTTACAGGTTTTAAAGGCATCATCAATCTGCAGAACCTCATGTTCATGATTGACTTTTTCAATATCCCCCTCCGTAATGAAGAGTTCTGTGAAAACATTCTTCAGATATTCCTCCTTTGCCTCTTTACCCTCAAATATGTGTTCCACTTTCTCCTTCATTTTCATTTTGTGAGTTTTCAAGAATTCCTGCAGCCAGAAATCTGTTATGGAAAAATATAAATAAAAGGGAAAAGGTGGGAATCAGAAAATTAAACACAAAGTTTTTTCACATTGGGATGACTGTCATCAAAATCAAGTGCTGCAGAAATATGGCATGTAAATACATAGTACTGAAAGCAATTCTGTACTGAAATCAATATGCATCAAACATTCTAAAATCATTTCTAAACCCAATGTAAAGATGGTTCACCTCGTTCTCTCGTGGGTTTCTCAGCTGCCTCTAATGATTTTTGCACTGTGAAGAGAGAAAGAAGAATGAGAAAAATATAGGACTACAAGGTATCAATGTAACCTGAACAGTAGCTTTAATATATGCATTACTGTTTAAAAGTTTGGATCACTATAATTTATTTATTTGTAAAGAAATTTATCTTTTTGTTCAGCAAGGATGCATTACTGATCAAGAACTACATTTATAAAGTGTAGCGGCTGGACCAATCAAACACACAATATATATTTTGTTTTTATATTTAACAAATACTCTGTAACCCCCCCTCAGTTAACAAGCCATACGAGGACCCATGAACCCTTCCCCCCGGAATGCGTAACACCCCAGGAGGCCGAAACAGGCCCCTTTTGTTGCATGGCAACCAACGCTGATATCACTGGGTTTATTGGCCAAAAGTATCTAAAGCAGGGAAAATCCCTGCATGTCCCAGGACAAACGCACAGTAGAAATTGACTTTTCTACTAATTAATTCATAGGAAAACCTTTCTTTGAATGAACACACATATTCTTCAGGCCATTGTGTATATTATTGCTGTTTTGTATTAATCTGTGGTATTTTAGACTATTTTTATTCATGCTTACGATAAACCACTCATTCATATAAGTAACTCTACCATGTCTAGTATCTATTAATTCGTATTCGGATGATCTAATTGAGAATGTATATTGTATGTTTACACCTACGCAACATATTAGTGTTCTAAGAGTCTTTAATAATTGTTACACAAGCTTCATACCACAAATTACCATGCTTGCCAACAAAGGGCCATAAAAAAC